TTGTTGGGACAAAAAGGCTTTAGGGGTGCCCAAATCCATCCCCTGAAACCGCACCTCCCTGCCCATGCACGGGCTAAAAAACTAAAAAAACCCTAAATAAAACCCTAAATAAAACCCTAAACAAAACCCTAAACGAAACCCTAAGAAACCCTAAACAAACCCAAGGGGATGATCGGGGCAGCAGGCTTTCCCGAAATGGCAGCGGGATTTTTTCTGCTTGGGGTTTTTCTGCGGCAGGGCCCCGTGTCCTGCCCAAGGACAGGGGTTTTAATGCCGCGATTTGGCGGCGCGGTGTCCTCGGATAACTCGCCCTGCAGACAGGAAAGCTTATAGGGTCTGATCGTGCTGCCCGGGTGGGTGACCCCGGCGGGGTTTTGCAGCTCTCTGACAGCTCTCAGGATCCCCGAGGGATCTGCAGATGGGAAAGTTTCGCAGCCCCCCCCTATCAAAAAGGGGTTTTTCCCGTTCCAAAATGGGGCCACCTACGGGTTCGTGCAGCTCAGCCCCACTGCGGGGTCACCCTATTGGGGTGACGGCCCGATGCCGACACCTACAGATGTCACGGAGGCAGAAGCATGAAAATTTTTGGGGTGTTTTCCAACAGTTTTAGGTTATGAGGAATGGAGATGAGAGCTCACTCGGCCCCGTTGAAGCAAATCTCCAGTAGGATCGCCGAGGCTCATGGTGCAGCTCCCTTTAAGCGGGTTTTTTGGCACGGAGCAGGGGCCATGGCCTGGGATGCACCCGAAATCCCCGCTGCAGACCAACAAGCCTTAAGCCTTTAGGGCGAGTAGGGCTGCTAACCCCAAGGAATCTGCCGCAGCTCCCCGAGGTGAGGCTGTCCCCGCGGCCACCCCAAAGACGAGGGGTCACCGGTCAGGGTGGGAGCCTCCCGATCCCTCTGCACGGCTCGAAGATGCTGGCCTCGAATTTGGGGCTGCCAAAAACGGGCTCTACCAAAAGATGATGAGATGGAAAAAGCAAACGGGGCTTTTTTTTTGGGGGGGGAAGGATGAGCTTGGGCAGAGTAAGGATGGCTCCGCGAGAGCCGGCGCCGCGCAGATCCCCCCCCCCTTTTTTTTTTTTCGGTGTGGGATTAAAGCAAATCGCCTCAGCATCTGACGTAGCAGCCAGCCCGGCAGGAGCGGTAACAAACCAAAAGGAGGAAGAGAGGGCGAGGGCTGGAAAGGCTGCCGTGCATTAGAGCAGAGATGATCGCCCTTGGGGGGGGAGAGACGATTAAAACTCCTGAGATGCTGTAATCGGGTCCGGGATTGGCCCCGCGCTGCATCTGCTCGGCCCCGCGCCCTGATTAGCCCTAATCTAAGCGGCATATGTTAATCCAAAGCGTGGATTTCAGCCCCTTTCAATTGTCTTAAAAACCAGGAAATCCATTCGACGGAAAAACCAACTCGGAGACCCTGAAAAAAAAACACCAAGGAAGCCAAGTTGGGCTGGGTGCAGGCAGGGGAAAGCCCCGGGGAGGGATGGAGGAGGGCTCGCACCAGCCCCGAGCTGCTCCTACCTGGGGAGAGGTGCTGAATAACGCACGGAGAGGGCACAAAACCACAAAACTGGCTCCCAGCACGCAGGGGATGGTGTGGCTGGGCTCCTGCCTCCCCTTTCTGCAGGGATTTCTTGCTGGCTGCTGGAAAAGCTCCCCGGGATTTGCAAGGAGCAATAAATAAGGAGACAAGGGCGCTGCTGCTCCAGCAGGGGTTGCAGCTCACGGGAGGAGGGTGAGGAGCAGGATCCACCTGCATCTGGGGAAACCTCGGGATTCAGAGGGCAAAAATCAGGCAATGACCAGTGGACACCTTACCTGGCGGGGAGCAGCAGCAAGGGCAGCCGCCTCGATGCCAAATTTTAGGTTTAACGGCTGCGTTAAAGCACAGGGAAGGGGTTGGGGGAGAGGAGGGGGCAGCTGGGCTGAGTCAGGGCTCTGGGAACTGGCCTCGAGGTTCAGCAGCCCCCAGATATCCAGGATAATCGATGCTCAAGGGTTTGGGGTCCGAGGCATGAAATACCCAAACTTTGGGGAAGGAAGCGGTCTCCTCCTCTTTCACGAGCAGCAAAATCCTCTTCCTTTGGAGCATCAGCTTCAGCGCAGACCCAGCCTGATGGCAGCACGGTGGGCAAGAGAAAACGGTGAGATTTTTGTCGGTTCACCCTCAGGGAGGGCAGAGAAGGAAGACTGAGAGAGGGATGCCATGAACAGAGGTGAGTTTGCTGTTGAGAGCCACCACGGAGCACAGAATAATTGCTCTTGGGATTTCTCTGATGGGGCAGAACAGATAATGCACAGCGACCCCAAAAATCACCTTGGAGAGCCCCAGCAGAGCACAATGCATGGTTTTTTTTTAATTCAAGGTGACACAACCTAGCAATCAAACACCAAGATCTCAACGGAGGGACGTGGTCTTCTTCCAAACGGAGCCCAGAGCCCACGTGGGATCAGCAGAAGCCAAAAATCAGATGCAGGTCTGCTCCTGGAGATCTGGCACCGAGCAGAGGAAGCAGATCCAAAGCAGCGAACGCAGAAGTCGGTGGCTCTTGCTCTGCCCTCTTGGACTCCAAGGGGTGGAAGTGCTGGAGGTCGCCTTTGAAGCCACGGTGGCAAAATTCTTGTAGATGAGTCAAATTAAGAAGTGTGAGGGCGTTAATGGACAAAGAAGAGGATCGGGGAGATCTCCAAGCAAGGAAACATTCATTTTATGTGGGCAGCAGAGAGAAATTGAAACAGCACTGGGTCTGTACACGCAGTACGGTCCACAAATCCATCAGAAGTGATGCAAAGAGGAGACTAACCCCATCACTTTTGCCACAGGAGGGAAAAATAAGAGAGTTTTTAAAATAAGAGAGTTTTTAAGTGCAGCATGAGAGCTGCAGGAGGTATTGGGGGTAGGGAGGAAGCCAACCATTAACCAGAAGTTTGGGAAGCTCCGGATCGACCTGCGTGGGGAAACACCATTTTTAGAGCCAGCAACCACTTGAATTCCCTTCCAGCCTGTTAAATGAAGATTTTGGAGGCTCCACTCGGTGTAAAGAAGCGATGGTTCACAGCTGGGAGTCACCAGCCAAGCAAATTTAAGACCGTGCTAGGACACGGTGGCCAAATCAGTTGGCACTAGAGGGGTTTCTTGATGAAATCCCTGACTATGGAGGAAAAACGTTTGCAAAATACGTGTTCCTCAAGATAAGGTGTTGACGTGACACCGTGGATGGGGTTTCACTCAAAACCAAGCATTTAAGAGGGTCCAACAGTGGTGATGAAGGAAGACATCTCATTAAGGCACCTACTTTAAGATGAGCTGTCCTCTGAAAGCGTGCCTCTCTCTCCTAATAATTGCTGGAGGATCAGTGTCTACCTCAAATTCGATCTCTTCCAACAAGACCATGGTTGGAAGGGCTTCCACGATGAGAAACGCCTTACTGACAAGTCTCAAGAAGTCCAGGCAGGGATTTTTAAGCTTGGAGAACCTTCCAGGCACACAACAGCCACAGCTTGAACAAAAAAAACGTTCCATCAAACGATAACTTGAGAGAAGCCCCTGTCCTTATTCTGCTTGCCAACCTCAAGCACAGCTCGAGGTCAGCCATCATCCGTCTTTTCAATCCCTTTCAGGTCAAAACCACAACAAGGGACCTGAATTTTGAATTTTGGTAGCAGAGAAGAGGCACGGCCGCCTCGACTCTTCCTGAGACCAGCAGATAAGCACAGGAGACAATGCTAACGTCTTGTACACGCCTCGATTTTCGTCCTCTCTACGTGGAGGGAAGGGTCCCAGCTCAGCCAAGACCTCAAATGCCTTTGGGTTCATCTCCCTTAGTCCTTGGTCCTGCCTCTGTGGGAGGGGAAGGCAAAACAGCCTCACCAAGGGACCACTCGGACACTCAGGGCTGGTTCGTGGGTGCCTCCCAAATTGTTCCAGGCACAGGCCAAGAGAACACCCGAGCCCGGTCCTCATCCCGAAATTAGGATCTAGAGGACACCGCTCCCACTTGGCGAGAGCCCTGAAGTGGATTAGGATGCTTTTAGGGGTTTGCTTTGTGTTGTTTGCTCTGTTTGTGGTTTTTGTTTTTTTTTGTGCTTTTTCTTTTTTTTTTTTTTCAAGTTTTTGTTTGCTTGTTTTCTGCAATTACAAAAACTTTGCCAAAAATAAACAGCGGGGCTGGATCCTGATTGACAAAAAGCTCAGTCCCCAAGCTACTACGTGACATACAGACAGGGACTGAGCTGTGTCCGCACAATTATCTCCTCTGACACCCAGGCTCGCCCCCCTGGCCCAGCCACGACCCCCCAGTCTTCGAGCAGTGGGGACAAAACCTCCTCCACCGGCGGCGCTTCACCAGCACCACGCATCGCTGTCCTTGCAGCCCTTTAAGTCCTCCACCTGCAATCATCTACGGCCAGGAGAGCAACACAAGGAAAAATCGACAATCATTTTTAACGTCGGAAGGGATCAATGGGGAACGCTGGGCCTTCCGTTCCATCTGGGTTTCAGCGGAGCTGAAAATCCCCAGTTTTGGTCCATTTTTGCTTCCCCCCCTCCTCTTTTTTTTTTTTTTTTAATATTAAAAGGAGGGTGGAGGGGTGAAGGGGAAAGGAGCACCAGCCTGGTATCCTGATGGATTAATTTGGTGCTTTTGGCTCTTGTGCCCTACGGAAGGCAAGCTGCCTCTCCCTCTCCTCACCGAGGGTGATTTTAGAGCTGGAGAGCAGGACCTGGGCAGAATAAAGCTGGATTTGGTCAAGCCTGCTTCTCACACAGGCTTCAAACCCCAGCAGCGGGTCCCCAGGGCAAGGCACTCTGTAAACCCGAGCCAATCTGGTGGGGAGGAAAGGTGACAAACACGCGAAGAGGAGTCTAAACATGCATGCGTCTACCTGTATAATGAAAGCTTTTTTTACCGTGCTCCACAGACGAAAGCTTAACGAATAACCCTTCTAAGCTTCCTTGATCGGCTGGCTTTGCTGTGGAGTGAAGGGCACACCTGATAAGATTAGCAGTCTATCACGGTCAGTCAATGTAGAGAGGAAACACAGGTAAAAAATAGAGAAAGGACAGCAGCCCCTAACGTCTGCTCCCCGCGGGGTCTGCCCCTCTCGCAGCCTGCTTGCTGGGAGCTTTTCCAGAGAAAAAAGAAACTGGAGGCAGGAAAGCCCTCAGAAGGGATTCGGAGTCTGTTCCTCTGATGATACGTCAGGTATTAACCTGGTGGTTGCACGGGAGGCAATGCAGCACCTTAATGTTTCTGGGCCATCACCTAATGGGGATTCCCTCTTCTATTTTGCCATAAATTCTTTACGGAGTTGCCTGCTGTGTTGCTAACATCCACGCAGTCTCTTCCAGAGGAAGAATTGTGCGTCGAGAGTGATTCTTGTCCTTAAATCCTTCAGGATTCTGTATTTTCTGCGTGGTTTTATTAAAGACTACTGTGAGAATGAAGGCAGAGAACCATGTGAAGGGATAAAACGTTGTTATTACTTGAGCTTGAACGACTAAAACTCATTTTAGAAGTGATCTGAATTGAAAGTGGTACTAAAATATCACCTATGCTAATGAAACATCATTATTTGGCAGAGTTTCTGCAGAAATTACACCCTGGGCATCCTTGGAAATCAAATACAGTGCAAGGATGTGCATGGCCAGGGATGCGCACACACGAGCTCTCGTGTCCACCTCCCTCTGCTGTGGGAGACAACCTACGACTTTATTCGGGTTTCTGCTACCTTGAGCCCATCATTTCTTAAAACCGATGGGTGTTGAAGGTGTAGCTGTGGGGTTTTCTTCCCTTCCTGCCGTTGCTTTACGCCTGCGTTGGGTTCGTGACCTTGAAAAAAATGAATTTAACAAATCCAAAGATCACAACACCCCGCAGCCCCAGCCGTTACCTTGCTTGGGGGGTTATTAAGCTGCACGCTGAGCCCAGCTCCGGCCTCCTCACTAATTCTTTACTTAAATAATACTTAGAAGAGAGCTCAGCTTGCATGGGGCTAACGGGATCGGGCTGTAAGACATTAACCCCGCAGGCGTGCACGTCTCTACCCCGCAGCCAGGCCAGGGTCCAGCAGGGGAGATGGCCACCACGAGATGCTCCGATATAAATCCATGTCTCCAAATATAAAATCCATCTCTCCAAATATAAATCCGTATCTCCAACGTTTGTTATCTGCCCCTTAGAAGCGTGAAAGGAAGGGGGGAAAGACAGAAAAGAGAGACAGAGAGATAGACACAGCCCTTTCACCCCCGAGAAACACCACAGTGTCAGGAACCTCAAGGAATGAGTTGGCAGTGCCAACGACAGCTAAATCCCGTTAATTCCAAAACTACCACCACAAAAAGCCACTCACCTGAAAAACTCTCTGCTAGGCTCCACTTGCAACCTGAACAGTCTGCTGCTAGGATGCCTGACAATAAAATGCAAGTGTAAAAGGCTGAACACAGGCCAAAGGCTAAAGTCACGGGGGGAAGGGGGGCATTAGGTGGGGTAATTTGGGTATGGATGGGAATTACAACCTGTTGCTTAACGGGTGGGCTGGAAGAGAAAACACTCGTGACCCTCATTTCGTTCGGTGGCCACCGTAGGAGCAACACCCCAGCGTTAGGCACGGTAAATTTAATATCGTGCGGGGCAGAGAGGAGTAAAATCCATCTCGGAGAAGCGAGGGCCACCTCCGAGCCCGCTCTCCGCTTCTCCCCGCGGAACGAGGGAGGGGGAAATGAATGAGAAGCAGGAGTGGCTGCCAAAGCGGCGTTTCTCTGCATCCCCAGAGCACGAGGCTAGGAAGTTGATGAAGCCCAGGCGCCCGCCCGGCCTCCTTGGAAGAGCTCGATGTATTTTTAAGGCTACCTGAGCCCCGGGATCTAAATGAGTTTCACAAGCTGGTGGGGCTGCACGATAGATCACACGTGAACACGGGCATTAGCATACACTACAGAGCGTTTAGCACACGGGGATATAAAGCTGCTATTGTTCTGGCCGTAAGGTAATCCGTAACCAGATAGGTCCTGGCTTCATCTAAAAAACATTTTCCCAGCATTTCGCTGCCTGCTTCAGCGGGAGCCTTGCCGTGACAACAGAGCGCGCATTCATGGCCGAGGAGAGGGCCCGAAATGATGGGCGCTCTCCTCGGTCACCTCCCTCCGTGCTGGGGGAGATCGTGCCCGTAGCCCCAAAGTTGTCACGAACACAAAGTCAGGAGAGGTGTGCAGCTTTTGGAGGGTGCCAACACCTCGGGGAGGCTTTCAGAGCTTTGCCTTGCAAATAGGAAAGCGCAAATTTTGCGTCTCCGCCGGCGCCTTGGCTAGCCACAAGGAGGTAAGCACAATTCTTTTTTCCTTGGGAAAAAAGGTTGGACACACACCTTAAACACCCTTTTTACCCTTTTTTCTCCTCTTCAAAGCATCCCCTTCACATCCAGCTACAGCAGCAGCCCTGCTACAACCCAGCACACCCCTGGGTGCAGCGGCGCCCTGCTCCTTTATAGGACAGAGGCACCCGTCTGGCACCACGGGGTCCCCTCCCTCTGTGCGCTGCCCGGCCCATCCTCGGCAAGGTGAGCAATAAATCACGGCCAAGACACCACTCCTAACGTGGAACACAGTGTGTAAAGAGCAAGTTTTTACAGTGCACATTCCTCCTTTTTACGCCGCTGTCTCGCGACAGGTGGGATGGGTTCCTACCTCTCCCCGCCGAGAGCGTTTATTCTTGGTATGCTACCGCCTCTGGCAGATTCCTCGCTTGGAAAGCTCTGCACATCTGCTGATTTCAAAATAAAAACAAGCTCGGGCTCCGGCCTGGTGGCTGAAGGCACATTCGTGCAGGCGGGCAGGTCGAAAAGCTCCACGAGAGCAGAGAGAGGTGGCCGGAGAGTAATTTCTGCTTTATATCTGCTGGGGGTGATTCAGAGCAGCGTGGGGCTGGAGGCAAGAAGGCAGCTCTCTGACAGCAGCAAAGAGAAAGCCTAAAACATGGCCAAGTCCTAAAACCTGGCCAAGTCCTAAAATGTGACCAAGCCCTAAAACCTGGCTGAGTCTGAATCCCGTTGATTTGCAGCGGGACTCCAAACCTCTGAGCACTCAGCTCTTGTTTGGAAGCGCGACTTGGGCTGCCCCCAGTAAAACCAGACCTGGGACCTCCAGGACTGGGCTGGAGACACCACGAGGCAGCTGTGGGTGCGAGCCACGAGGCTGTCAAACTGCAAACGCCGCTGGCTGCTGCTCCCTGAGACTTCAAAGGGGTCAAAGACGCTCTATTTATGCCAGCAATAAAATCTCTGCTTCCATTAGCTATACATCCTCCTCCTAAACGCAGCGCGCACACCAATTAAAGTCCCCTAATGCTTGGGAGTACAAAGCTTGGGTTTTTTTTTCCTCTTTTTTTTTTTTTTTTGAAGGGAAGGGTGGAAGGGAAGAGATCAGGCGGCTCGGGGGAATAGCAGAGAGCCTTTCACTGCTCGGGCTCTCGTCGAAATCTGTCAGAGGGCAGCGGGAACAGATGGCCCTTTCTGAAGGTTGCTCCTGGAGCTTACACGAAATGAGGGATTGGCTCGGGCCACGTCCTGGTGGACAACTTATTGATGCCACAGCCAGGCTCTGAGTGCTTTCTGGCAGAGGTGGTGGAGAAAACGAGGGATTACACGGGTACGAAGCAAAATGCTCCCTACCTGATCAAAGGCACCTCCTTCCTGGGGGGAATCGAGGCAAATTGCCGGCAGCGTACTCCTGCCGCTGCTGCTCACTGAACCCCCCTTTGGCCACGCTGGAGGTTTTGAGGTGATGAAAATCGTGGGAGAAAGCAGGGAGGAGGAAGTTGAGGATCTGGGGCAATCAGGAGGCAAATTTGTATGGGGTGAAAGCTTGCTACGATCTGCGAGCAGCAGCAAATAAAGCCATGATCGATTTTTTCAGCCAGTTCTAAGCTTGTGCTCTCCTCAGTCTCTTAATTTTTAGAGGCCTGCATCTTCTCCAGGGCACGCTTTGCACTTTCTGAGGGCAGGTGGCAAGAAGCCCACCAGCACCCGGGCGGGCCACCAGAGAGGGGCCCCGGTGAAAGCAGCACAGAGGGAAGGTTGGATGCTTTTGGGAACAGATTAAGGACACGGGGTGGGACTGGGAGGAACAAGGCAAACCCTGACTTCGAAACACCACCTCTGTTTTTTGGAAAGGTTCAGAGGAAGCACGTGGGCACTCCTGACCTGGAAACTGTGCTTTGCAGCAGTGACCCCGACCGTACCAACCTGCCGAGGGACTCGAGGATGATGAGGGAAGGGGCAGCCTCCCCCCGGGAAGCCAGCGAGCAGAAGCCACCACCCCGGCCGGCAGGAAAATAGGGCGATTCCCCCCTGCAATCTTCCCCGCACAGCTGGTTCCTGGCTGCGGATTACGGCTGTCACATGAGCTGCTTTACAGCAAAGCCAAGCTGTCTTGGTGAGCTGAGAAGGTCACTGGGAGACAGGGGCCTCCGGGGACAGACACGCCGCCCTCTGCTGCGGCGGGGATTTACTGCCCGGCGGGGAGAAAGGCGATCCCTCCTGGTCGGAGGGCAGAGAGAAATGGGTTTTACCTCCCAGTTCTCTGCACGGAGATGGTTAGGGCTCACCCTGGGGAAGGGGAGAGCGGGGATGTCCCCGGATCTGGGTTTTGTGTTGCTTGCCAGGCTGTAATTGAGGTGTTGGAGGGCTGTGAAGTGATGGTTTTACCTTCCCTTCCTCGTGCACCACCAACCTTTTGGACACGGCCACCTGAACGTCACCAGTAAAGGGATGCCAAGTGGAGGTGCATCTCCCCCAGCACTCCTGCACAAGCTCAGAGCCTCAGAGAATGAATGAGCCAATCCTTCCTCAAAGGCAGCAGCAAGAAACGTCCTCTTCAAACCCAAAACCCTAAAGGAAGTGGCGAAAAAATGTCCCTCTCAAACCTAAAACTTTAAAGGAAGCAAGAAATGCCCTCAAACCTACAACTCTCAAGGAGGCAGCAAGAAATGTCCTCTTCAAATCTTAAAAACTTGAACTGCTGAACACGGGGCCAGCGAAGAGGAACGGGTTTCGGTTGGAAAAACAGAAGTCTGCGGGTCCGTTTCAGCCTCCTGGGAGGATGAATTAAAGCCTGCCATCTCCATCATCCTGCCACAGGCAGGGCTGGTGGGCAAGGAAAACATTTCTGCGAGCGAGACCGCCTCACGTGCTTCATGCTCGCAGGACGGGGCTCTTTACTATGCCCCAGAGGCACGAGACAGATGGGGTTGTGCTTTTAGGCTCGAAAATCAGCCCGTTACAGAGATCCAATGAAGAGGAGACGTCCAGCCACAGGCTGAGCAGCTCTGCAGGGAAGGAATTTGGTCTTATACACAAGATTATTAGCTTGATAAACACACAGACCGTGCCCCGGAGCACTCAGGAGCTGTGCCTGGGGAAGCCCCAGCTCGCAGGGTACCTCTCCTTCCAGTGGGGTGCCCGGCAGGCAAGGGGAAGGTTCACAAACCCCTTTTTTTGTTTCATCAGATGCTTTACAAGGCTCCAGCAGCTCGCTGGGATTTCAGCCAGCTTCCCATTTGGCTCAGGTTGCACCCTGCGCCCACGGCTGGCCATTAAGAGCCGGGAGCTGATGATTGCCCCGAGGTCAGAGGAGCCTCCACCCCGTTCTGCCCTCGTTTTCCAAAGCAGGAGAGGGTTCCTCGAGCCAGCCCAGCTCGTGGCCACGAGGGTACCTGCTAGGGAGGCAAGGATTGCGCCCTGCTGCCATGAAACAGCAGATTGCAGCCCAATTCTGTGCCGTGAGGGGATTAGAAACCCCCCTCCATCTGCCCTGCTGCGCTGTAATCACAATTCCCCAAGCCCTTGGATGGTGCGAGAGGTAAGGGAGGGATGGCACAGGGAGAAAAATGGCAATGGGACTGCAGTGCTTGGTCATCTCCTCCCCAGAAGAGATGGAAAACCTTCCGGGGATGTGCTACGACCCCCAATATCTCACAGGACCCCAAAATCTGGGGTGGGGGGCTGCCACACAGCATATATTTAAATAAATTGATATTTATTCAAATAATATTGTAATTACGTTAACAAATATTGATATTTTTTTATTCCATGTGTGCCTCGTCGTGAAGCACTGAGTAAGGAGCAGCAAGCACGGGCTGGTTTTGGTCTCAGCTTAGTTTCCCACTCACCTCATCTAATTTTTGTAGGTCCTGCTGTGCCAACCAAGCCTCTGCTTGGGGTTAGGGTTGGGCACGAGGAGGAGGACGCCTGGAAAAACGCTCACAGACACCACACAAACACCTCCGTCCCTTTGCATCCCAAACCTTGCACTGCAAATACTGGCGAGCAAGGAAATATTTATCTATCCAGCTCCTTGCCCCCAAACATACTCAGAGAAACGCACAAACAACCTCACCTCTTTTAGATAAAAG